TAATTTAGAACCAAATATTACTAAATGAGTGGATGTCATAGCCAGAGTCCAAGATGATCCCCAAAGATCCCCACTTTCTTTCTTCATTTTTGTGCAGTGCCCTCCCACATGGTATCAGAGTTGGTTTGTGTGACCAACAGAATATAGCAGAAGTGATGGCATGTCACTTCTGAGGCTGGCAGCTTCCTGCTTCCTCACTTTCTCCCAGATCACTCACTCTGGGTGAAGCCAGTTGCCACGTCTTGAGACAGCCTTGTGGAAGGGCACATACCTCCAGGGACTGAGGCCTCCAGCCAACAGCCACATGAGTGAGCTCTGCTGGCAGCCTTCAGATGTCTGCAGCCCTGGCTGACAGTTTAAGCTCATGAGGAATCCTAAGCCAGAACAACTTAGCTGAGCAGCTCCCAGATTCCTGACCCTTAGAAATTGTGTAAGATAATAAATAAATGTGTGATGTTTTAAGTTGCTAAGTTTTGGGCTAATTTGCTGTATAGCAATAGATAACTAATACAGTAGACATACATGAAACTCATTAATCTTGTTAATTTCACCAATAAGCCTTGTTTTAAAAACACTTCATATGTGCTTCCCTTCTAGTATAATTAAAGCCAATCTATATTATAAAAACTACATGTCGAAATGATTTATTTGGGGTCGCCTATTGTGTTTCTGTCTTATCTTATACTGTCTCTAGAGGCCTTCTACTTAAATTCTCTTTGGCTTCTTGTACTCCCACATATACTACAGTATCTTTTTCTGACTCCTCTTCTGTTCCTTGTTACCAATTGAAGAATTCATCTCCACAGCAGTCTTTTAAACACTCGTCTGAATATATCCTGGACATAGACTACTTGTGATCCTTCATCACCACCTTTTCCTGTATCACAATATAGATGATTATTTTAACACACACTTACAAAAAAGCCTGACTCATTTTGTGAGAGTATCATACTTCTCATTTTCTCCAAACGTATCTCTATTTCAAGCAAACCCTGGTAGCCTAGTGATTAAGCTTCAGCACTCTCACTGCTGTGGCAGCTGTGTGTTGCTGTGATGCTGAAAGCTCTGCCACCGGGGTTTCAAATACCAGCAGGGTCCACCCATGTGGACAGGTTTCAGCAGAGCTTCCAGACTAGGAAGAAGGCCCTGGCCATCCACTTCCAAAACATTAGCCATGAAAACCCTATGAATAGCAGTGGAACATTATCTGATACAGCACCGGAAGGTGAGAGGATGGCACAAAAAGATTGGGCAGGGTTCCGCTCTGCTGTCCACGGGGTCAGCAAGAGTCAGAATCAACTCCGTGGTACTAACAACAGCAATCTCCATTTCAACTGAGATTATGTTCCCCTTTTTCAGTTCTAAAACTACATTTGTTTCTTTCTTTTTTTTTTTACTACTCTAAAAAGCCACTTTGAGATTACTTTTTCTGTTACTTTGAACTGAAAGAAACCAATAGATAAATGTATCCAATGTCGTTCACTCTAGACTGCAGAAAGAAATGTTTCCTCTTCAGCCCGAATCAAATAATCTAAGCTTTGGTATCCTGTTTCCCATCTACAGACCAGTCTTTCCTCCAAATGATTGACACGGAATATCCATCCTTTCATGAGAGGGTCATTTCAGATCCAATGGAATGTGATCTTAGTCTCAAGACACCTTTATCCAAATTCAACAGTTCAACTGACTTACTCACACAAAGTCTTTTTGTTACACAACCCCATAAGTTTATGGAGGAAAACAATTTTTTTTGCAAGTACACGTTTACACAACATGCTTTAATCTTTCAGCTAGTTCCTGCAGTACACATTTGGTGTGTACTCTTAGAAGATGGGAAGTGAATGCTACTCCATTAGAGGAAGTTCAAGAAGCGGCCTTGAGAAAGAAAGAACAAACCAGAACCTGTGGGACCTAGTGTGAAGGACAGCCTGGATTATTCCTTTCTCTTAGTAGGCTTGAACCAACTGGACTGGATTCTCTCTGTCCAGTTCAGGTGAAGTAGGTCTTTAAGAAACTATCCTGGCCCCAACCTTAAAACGGTCCTGAGTCACGAAGACTTAGAATCTCAGAGAGCTCCTGCAAGATGGTTAGGTAACAGAAATTTAAGAAAACACGCTTAGGTTTACATGATAGAAAACCAACTGACTGCGGGCATGTGTGGAGTTTTTTTAAAGCTGATTTGCAATTTTACCAAAGACAGTATGTTTGAAATGCTGACATTGAAATGTTGACATTAGCAACTTAATCCCAGTATCTTTCAAATGCACCTATTTTTGAAAGCACAGCTACATATCTGTTTGAGTCTCTTTGTGAAGTAGAGGTCTACAGAATGAGAGAGAAGCAAGCTGCACTCAGGTAAGTCCCCACTCACTTCTGGAAAAGCAACTCAAAGCACGTGCATCCTAATGGTAGGTCAACAGTAACATCTTCCTTCATACATGGAGGTAAGCATTTTCTTACTGATATTCATCTGTAAAAAAGCTTTAAAAAATCTCAGGGAGGAGCCGGCCCGGTGGCGCAGATGTTAAGTGCACATGTTCTGCTTCTCAGCAGCCTGGGGTTCACTGGTTTGGATCTAGGGTGCGGACATGCCAATGCTTGGCAAAAGCCAAGCTGTGGTAGATGTCCCATGTATAAAGTAGAGGAAGATGGGCATGGATGTTAGCTCAGGGCCAGTCTTCCTCAGCAAAAAGAGGAAGGTTGGCAGTAGTTAGCTCAGGGCTAATCATCCTCAAAAAAAAAAATCTCAGGGAAGGGCCGGCCCAGTGGTGTAGTGGTTAAGTTCAGTGTGCTCTGCTTCAGCAGCCTGGGGTTGTGGGTTTGGATCCCAGGTGCAGACCTACACCACTAATCAGCCATGCTGTGGCGGTGACCCACATATAAAGTGGAGGAGGACTGGCACAGATGTTAGCTCAGGAATAATCTTCCTCAAGCAAAAAACCCCCCCAAAAATAGGGAATCTGAAAATACTTAATACTTTCAAAAGTGATGAGATTTAAGACTATGGTAGAAACTCCTTCTTGTCCCCCAATAGTCAGTCTTCCTTCCTCAGCACTGAAATTCCATTTTCCAGCCTTCCTTGTATTTAGTGTAGCTAAGTGACTAAGTTTTTTGCCGGCAGAAGGAAAGCAGAAATGCTATATGCAACTTTTGGAAAAGGTTCTTAAAGAGAAGGCGTATTCCCTTCTTTGTCTTTTCTTCTGCTGGTTGGAATGCAGGCATAATGGCTAGAGCTGCAGCAGCTCTCTTAGACCATGAGATAATATTGGGAATGGAACCTGATATCTTCGCAAAGCCCATATATTTGAAAGCATAAATAAATGTATGTGTCTCTCTTCACTGGAACAAGGAGGCTGGATCTGTCTCCATGAAGTGCCAGCCCAACTCCAGAATAACTCTGGACTTCTTCAACCTAAGAGAGAAATACCAATTTGTGCTTAAGCCCCTTGCAGTCGAGTTTAATCCTAATACAATAATCAAAACAGAAGCAAGTTTTAAAAACTTATTTTTAAAAAGTCAACCTTTGTAGGTCACCAGTTTAACTAGTTTTAAGGTTGCACATATTTCAAAAGTAATTTATTCAGCAAATATTTATGGGGAGCACCTAGATCCTAGCACATGTATGAGGATAATGGATACTGTAACTACAAGTGTAATATTTGCCAATTTATAAGATATAAAACATAGAAAAATAGTATCCAAGACAATGAGAACTGAGGGAGAGTGGAAAAATAACAAAAAGTAAGGATTGTTCCTCTTACATGTATAAGACCCACAGGAATAACAGGAATAAGAGGATGGGATTTTGTGATAACTTGAGACACAAAACCTTTTATTTCATTATCCTTCAGGTAAAAAATTTTTAGATTCCCATTGATAACACCTGGACTTAACACAGCGCCTTTCCCCCAAGCAACTAAATGGCGCTTTATGTTCTCTGGGAAATTTAGACAGAGCTTTCAAAGGCTGTTGAAGTTATGCTGAAAATTCAAGATGCAGTGTCTTTAAAAGAGACAGTAGGCAGGGACCCGACTATAAGAAAGCCAAAAATCTGGGTGGATGGCAAGGAGAAGCATCAAGATAGAATTATAAGGCCAGTCGTATTGCGTTTGTAACCTCGGGTTACATACAGTACTAGGTGGTAGCCTTGAAAGAGTAACTTCACTTTCTGGGCCTCCATTCTGAGCTGCAGAGATTAGAAAGGGGCATCTCTGCAGCCCTTCAGCTCCTGCCAACCTTCCCCGAGCACGCGCCCTACCGTGGGCAGCTCGCGGCCAACGCCGCCGAGCCTACAGGCAAAGAGAGTCCCCGCCCTCTGAGTCTTGGGATCCCCGCACGTGATCTCACGGAGGCTGCACTTGAAGTGCTCGGGCAGAACCGCAGCGGTGGGAGCCGGGCCGCGGCCGCCGCCCAGAGGACCCCAGGAGTCCACGCGGCCAAGAATCCTAAAGCGCCGAGAGAAGCCGGCAGGTCCCGGAGGCCCGCGGAGCGGCGACGCATCGCCCCGCCCCCTAGCTCTCGCCCCGCCCCTTAGCCCCCGCCCCGCCCCCGGCCGGCCACTTGCTGCGCGCCGATTGGTTGCCGCGGTGCGCACGGCGCCGCGCCCCGCCCCGCCGGCGCCCTCGCCTCACGCCTGCGGTCCGCGCCCGGCTCCCGCAGCTGAGGTGGAACCGAGGACGCCCGCCCGGCCGCGGCGCCGCCGCCTCGTCCTCTGCGCGTGCGCCTGGAGTCGGGGAAGCCGGTGAGTGCGGTCGGCGCTCTCGGGCTCGCGGGGGGTTCGCGCGCGTGGGTAGGCGCCCCCGGCCCGCCCGGCCCGGCCTCTTGGTGCGGAGGGGCCCTCGGGTCACCCGGCGGCCTGCGGGGCAGGGGCCTCCGCCTCCTCCTCCGGACCCGCCCGCGTCTTCGGGCAGACGGTGGCCGTGACGCGCGGCGACCCGTCCTCGGCGGGCAGGGACCTCGCGGTCGGACGGCTTCGCCGGGAGGTCTGGAAGGGGTTCCTCTCGGGTCCGCCCGCTTCCTGGGGCCACGGGCCGGGGAGAGACCGCGTACGGCCGCGCCGGGCGTCGGGGCGAGCCGGGGACGCCGCGCCCTCTGCACCGTCGCTGGGGGCGCGTCCGTGTCGTCGGACTTTTCCGACCCGGTCCTTACGAGCGAGGGACTGAGGTGGGGAGAGGAAATGGGAGAGGATCACCGTTCCTGGGGAATTACTCATCGGGCGTGGAGTGTCCCTTCAGTTGGGTGGCAGCAGAGTCGCCCCTGAAGTCGTGGTCGTGGTGCTGGGAAGACCATTTTGATTTTGAAGCAAGATATTGGCTTCCGAGGTAATCGCTGGGAGGTGCTTAATCTGAAAGGTGAATATGTGACCTTTTTAAAGTCCAAGCAGTGATGAGATCGACTGTGCGCGCCCTCCCCGCTGCTGGTGCCGTGTGTGCGTGCGTGTGTGTGTGTGTGTTTGGGGGTGGTCAAGCCTCCGATTGTGTAATCAGCGTTATGCCTCTCAAAGACGTGGATGTCTCTTCTTGGAGTGTCCCACCCCTTTTCTCAAACTCTTCACCTGCCTGTACTGTAAGTCCCTTTTCTTGACAGTTCCCGAGCCTCTTTCTCCCAGGCTTGTCCCATTTCTTTTCCATCATCTTCAGTCACTTCTTATTTGTCTTCTCTTCTTTCAGACCTGCGTAGGTTTCAGACGTAGAACAAACGTTAAACGTTCTTACCGATAATAGTGTTGCAAGACTCTTCCTTCTTTTTTTTTTTTTTTTTAAGATTTTATTTTTTCCTTTTTCTCCCCAAAGCCCCCCGGTACATAGTTGTGTATTCTTCGTTGTGGGTTCCTCTAGTTGTGGCATGTGGGACGCTGCCTCAGCGTGGTCTGACGAGCAGTGCCATGTCCGCGCCCAGGATTCGAACCGACGAAACACTGGGCCGCCTGCAGCGGAGCGCGCGAACCCAACCACTCGGCCACCACGGGGCCAGCCCCAAGACTCTTACTTCTTAAGGTGAAAAGAGTTACCTTGATTATTGATGTCTCAGGAAAAGCAGGTTTAATAAGAGCAGGGGGAGGAGATCGTTTTCGGAGACACGCCCTCTCTTTTCCGTCCTCCTCTGGCGACCAGCATTAGGCCACCTTAACTGGCCAGTCTTTTCTGAATTCACTTCTGGAGTCCAAGATAAAGAACTTATTTATTCGTATTTGCTCCTTTTAAGTGATTACAGTAATACATTAGATTGTAAATTTTTTTTAATTTTACAGAAGAATATCAAGTAAAAAGTTGGAATTCCTTGTTTCTTCACTTTGCGTCTTCCACATCCCCAATTCCGCTCCCTGGGAGGAGATCATCCCATTATACTGTTGGGCAACTGACTTAGTGTAAGGACACCTTGCCGTTTCAGCATGTGTGCATCGAGCTCATTTTTAAAATGCTGCGTACTATGCCATTGTTTGGGTGTATTCTGATGTATTTTATGGGTCCCTTACTGATGGACATTGTGGTTGTTTCTGGGTTTTAGCCATTAACAGCCTTGCTGCATGAAAATCTTTTTGGCATTGGAGGATACGTTTCAGGTAGATAATTTAAACAGATCATTGTACTTCAGTATAATTTTAATGCTCTTTTCACCAGGGATCTTTTTGTGACTTAAAAGATTTTGTAATTTAAAGGCAGTAGCTAATTCTGTTTGATTTAAATGCATTTCGTAGAATCTTTGTGTCCTTTTATATTTAGAGACTGGATCAAGGAAATTTTGAGGACCAGGCTAAGTGATGGCGAATTTACTCACCTTGTTACCACTTACTGGTGTTGACTTTAGGGTTATATTGACTCAGTTGATTGGCTTGGCAGGAATGAATAGAGAGGGCCTTCAGGAAGAGAAAATGTGAACAGACCATATTTTGTGTAATACCGTCCGGTGGTAATTCCCTTGAATAGTCAACAGTAACAAAAATTCTTGTTCTCTTTTTAAATGTTTCTTTAATGTGAAGTGTATCTCAGGCACAAAAAATGTGTGTATAAAGTACATATATATAATTTAAAGAATACTTTTGCAGTGATCATCATTGTATGTACGACTACATTAAGAAACAAAACATTTATGTCTTTCTTCCAGAGATAGGCTCTATTCTGATTTTTTTGGTTAATCTTTCTCTCTTTTAAAAATAAGCTTTACATGTATGTATGTTTAGACATGTATACTTAAATGCACGCACACACACGCATCCTAAATGATATATTTAGTTTTGAATGAGTAGTGTTAAAAACACTTCCCATACAAATAGATACTGAGCATGTTTCTGAGTTTTATTTAGTTGTTACTGAGAGTGCCACAAGGAGCTGGTTTGAAGAGGATTTAAGGAATAGATATTTTTGTGGTCTGTAGGGAAAGGAATGTCTCAATAAAATTGCTGAGTTAGATATAATTGGTTAATGTTCCACAGGGCAACAAAATCATAATACCTTTGGGATTAATCTTTTCTACCAGGCTAAAAAATCATAACACCTTATTAATTTCTGCACTTAATCTCGTATCTTACAAACTGTAAGCTATGTCTTTATTAACAGTGGATTTCTCATTAAATAAACTGTGATAACAAAGTTATTTTCCCCAGAGCACAGCTCAGGTCCAAAAAGGCTTATTACAAAATGCCAGAGCTTTCAAGACTGGAGATTAAAATTTTGTTACATAATTCTAAGCACAAACCTGACTGTGTAAGGACAGGACAATATTGTCACTATTAGATGAAGCCTTTCAGGAAAAGATGAGCAGAACAGAGTGGCTTCCGCCTTCCTGACTCTTTGCAGGGGCCGTGTCTGAGGAGGTCAGTGGGCAGTGTTGTGGGCGAGTCCTGGGAAACAGGGTTCACCACCGTCAGGGCACCTGGAGGGCTCCAGTGTGACCAGGTCCTGGAAGGACAGCAGAAATACAGTCAGAGGGACTGCGCTGCTTGGTGTTTTCTGCCTTTTAGCTCACCGTGGCCTGCCTGCAGTTATCAGGGTGAGTCAAAGCAGAAACCTTCTGTGAGGGAAGTGAGTGGCCTCTGCTGATGGCGGCTGCAGGGCTTGGAAGGCGAGCAGGAACTGCATCAGCAGATGATCAAGATCAAGCCAAGCCCAGCTGAGTACAGATAGGAGTGGATCTGGGCCAGGTTCACGGGGCATTCAGTCCTCAGGTTAAATAGCTGGTTTAGCAGCTGGGACATGTCTGTCTCCAGTTACACTGCCTCAGTCTGGTCTGGTTATCCTCCTTGTCTCGGGCACAGCTGGATTCTCTTCAGTTCTGCTGTGTTGGATCTTTCTGGGATTCTCTTTTATTGATTTACTCTCTGGTGGCACTCATACCACAGAAGCTTATTGACAAGAAGAGTTACATTTTTTGGAGGCTTTGCCTGTCTGAATATGTTGTGATTCTGTCCTCATGCTCAACTGGATATTTTGAGTGGTAATAGAATTTTAGTTGGAAATAATTTTCCTTCAGAATTTTGAAGTATTGCTCCATTGTCATCTTGCTTCCAGTGTTGATGTTGACAATTCCAAGCTATTATGATTCCTGATCCTTTGTATGTGACCTGTTTTGTTCTCTCTGCAAACTTATGGAATCCACACCTTGACCCCAGTGTTTTGAAATTTAAAATGATGAGTCTTAGTGTGGGTCTGTTTTGATCCATTAGATTGAGTATTTAACGGGCCCTCTAAATCTGGAAATACAACTTCTCTTCTGGGGCAATTTTCTTGAAGTATTTTGTTATTTTCTCCCTTCTCTTTTCTCTGTATTCTCTCTTCTGAAGCACCTGTTATTTAGATATGAACCTGTTTAAAAGTCTGAATTTTCTTACCTATCGTCTTCTGTTTTCCGTCTATCTACTTACTGCTAGATTTTCTTAACTTTTCTTTCCCAATGCTTCTATTTGGATTTTTAAAAAAATTTCCACAGTCACGTTTTTAGTTTCCAAAGGCTATTTTTTAGTCTCTGAATGTTTCTTGTGGTAGCATCCTATGCTTGTTTAATAGATAAGCATGTTCTTTTATCTCTGAGGTTATAATGATTTTAAGTTTTCTTTCTCTGCATAGTTTTCCAGCTTCCTATCTAGAAGGAAAGGATCTGGCTGCCGGTCTCCTGAGCCAGAACAGAGGAACAACGGTCCCTTATGTCCAGCTTTCAGTATGATACCTGCATCTTCCATTGTGCCTGGTATCCCCCAATCCAGAACACACGAAATAGAGAAAAAAACCTCAGACTTCTGCCAGGATGTGGAAGAAGCAGTTGCTAGCACCTGAAGAGAAAAGGGACAGGATCTGGGCATCTCCCTTCTGACTGCTCCCCCAGGTCCTTACTGGGTTGCTTCTTAGCCCTCCCCGCTGCTGGCTTGGGAATTCAGCTTTCTTGCGTGTGTTGAGTCAGTTACCATTGTCCATCTGCTTTCCCGCTTGCAAAATTTTCTTGATCTTGCCTCCTCTTCTGTTCTCCCTATCATTAGGGGTTTATGACTTTTTAAAAACTCCTTTTATTGTAGTTTTAGTGAAGTTTCAGAAGGAAGCAAAATGAGATGCTTATGTACGGTCTGCCATCTTTACCCAGAAATAGTAATAGTTTTTCTTGACCAAAGAGTGATAGCAGTACTACCAGGAGCAGAGTGCCCTCTACAAAGCAGTCATATGTATGTGAACCATCTTTTTGGCAGGTAGTGGTTGACGGTATTGAGTGATCACATGTGCTGGACACTGCTATTCTTACTAATTCTCACTTCCTGAGGGACATGCTGTCATCACCCTAGGAGACCAGTGCCTAGGGAAGTTTAAAGCTCCAACAGCGCCTGGCACATAGCAGCTATTCCATGAGGAGTAGAATGGATAAATGAGCCTGGCCAGGCAGGCACAGCTGGGAAGTGCTGAATGTAGGAGGGGGCCCAGGCCAGTGCTAACCCCAAAGTCGGCACTTTCAGCTGCCTCTGTGGTGGCTAAAGATGGAAGATGATCCTTGGTACTTCAAGGTGTCCACTTCCTTTGAGCCCTTTGGAAATATTCTTACTGAGGCCTTTGCTTTCCCAGTACTGCTTACCAGGAGGGTTTCCTTTCACCCGTGTGGGTTGAAAGCTGTGACCTGGAGCCAATTTCTCTGAACTGGGGAGTAGACCATTTACTGAGCAATCCCAGAGGATGCAGAGTTGCCTGAGCAGGGCTCCTGCTGGGGAGCCTAGGTAAAGATGGCCTCAGAGACTGAGTGGAATTTTGCCATGGCTGGATCAGCTCTTGGATTTGTAGCAGTCGTCTGCGTTCAGGTGGCAATTCATGATAGAATGCCTTTCTATTTTTTCACTTTTTATTACAAA